TTGGCCAATTTGATGTTTGATAGCCAATTTTAACACTTAGCTTGTCATACTATAAGATCACCTGAGAATAGTGTCTTAATGAGGAAATGTTTAGATCAGATGGGCCTGTAGGGGCCTTTGTTGGAGACAGCCTTACTAGATTAGATGTGGGAAAACCAAACCTAACTGGGCAACAACATTCCTGGGTGTTGGTTCTAATTCATACAGTTGTAGAGCAAGTGGGATGATCAGTAAACATTCATGCATGCATGCTTACATTCCTTTCTCTTTGGCACTGACTGTTGATATGATGTGAGTTTTTTAAAATTCCAGTTGCCTTGACTCCTTTGCTATAATTGCCTCTAACTGAAATTTTAATCTAAAATAAAGTCTTTTTCCCCCTAAATTGCTTTTTGTCAGGGTATTTTATCACATCAGCAGTAAAAGAAACTAGGACAGTCTACCTTCAAGCCTCTAACTCAATTCTACCTTATCTTTCAAGGCTCCACCTAGTACCTTTGCCAGGAAAGCATACCTTCCTGCCACCCACTCCTGTACACCCTAGTAATAATGCTCACAGAGCAGCTAATTTCATTAAGCACTTATAATAGTCCTTTGACAGAAGTATGTACAACATACCCATTTTCCAGATAAGATACCACAACACAAACAGGCTAATAACTCATCCATGGACACATCATGGTCAAGTCAAGGATGGAATCAATAAGCAAACCCAGGTAGATGAATTCCATAACTTGTGTTCTAGACATCAGGCCACACCACCTCTACAAGAGTAAAAGTGAGATGCTTCCAATCAATGCTGTCGACCTAGTACTTCACACTGTCTTTCCAAACACCAATGTTCAATGAGATAATTCAAGGTGTACCTCTTACAAATACTGACTCTACAAACTGTAGAGTACAAATCAATTATCAAGCATTCCAGTAAAGAAAAAGAAAAATATCTTTAACAATATTTTTTGTTAAAACCTAATTTTTACAGGGAAATATAGCTATAACGGCACACCTAAAACATATTAGCATTTACCCTCCCTATGATAAGAAGTGTCTTCAAAACTAATGAAAACCCTTGGCAATTTGAATATTAGATGACACTAAATTACACTATAATTATTTCAAAGGTCAAGAATCTTACACATTTAGTCTTAAAATTCTCCACCTGGGTGATGCAATCAGAAAATTTAAGTATGTATGAAAATATTTAATTATACAAAACAGGAAGAAATCTACTAATAACCTTTAAGTAAAATATGCTGTCTTCCCACATACGTATTTTCCCCCCTGTGTGCAAAAATGAATATTTCAGAAGAGTACATGAGCTATGTAAGTTTCAAGGAAGTGTAAGATACCATAGTTAGGAATAAATTAACACATCATGTATGAATACCTGGGAAACTGTAAGGCTACAGGGCACCATTGAAAACACAACAGAGTCAGAAACAGCCAGCATGAATTCAAATTTCTTAGAGGAGGAAAACCAACATAGAGCACAAGGGATTTAAGCAGCTAACTGCACACTGAGACGAAATTCCATCCCTCTACCACAGCTGTATTGCTATTCATGCTGAAGGGATGGATGTAGGAGTGACAAGTAAATTATCTTAAGTTCAGATTATTTACTTATTTATTTCATTCGTTAGCTTGATTCTTTGAGGTAATATCTCACTATGTGAAGAAAACTGAATAGGTCTGGTGTCCTGAGAAGCCAGAAGAGATCTTTGGATTCTCTGGAACTGGAACAACAGACAATTATAAGTTCGCATGTGGATGCTGCTCCCTGGAATAGCAACTGATGTTCTTAACCACTGAAGAACCTCTCCCGCCCCTTGATTTGATCATTTTAAAAGCACATTTGCCTTTAAGATTTTGGTTCCTTTTTTACAGCCAAGCTACCTCACACTCAGGACAGTTCTTGAGGCCTTCCCAGAGGAGATGGTCACAGCACAAATGGCTTTGCTCTGCGAGGATTGCCCTTGGCAGCAGAGGCCTATATTACTTGCTGGTCTCGAATTGGTTTGGTGCGCTGTGTGAATAAACGTGGAAGGAATTTTTTTAAGGCAAATGCAATGGAATGTTTTAATAGATAGACTTAAAAAAAAACTGCTTCTGCTTGTTTGTTTGTTTGAGGATCTCTGCTTTTTTTATTTTGGCTGACTTGGCCTTACTACCATGCGTCCCTGGTTTGTCCAAAACTGGCTTTGAGGATCCAATTGGCACCAGGCTTGGGATGCATGCCAACATATAGGTGTCCAATCTTTTGTTTCTGTTTCACATTTTCTTAAGCTTTCATCATGTATGATTACTCTCCATGCGTCAAACTAACAACAAAGTACAAGATAATATTGTCTGAAGAATTCAAAGACAGCTATCAATGCCCACTTTGACACTCTTTTCGGTTGTAGTTTTTATATTAAATATAGATAGTATTGATAATTTGTGATACATCTTTCTGGCTCAGTTGAGAAAATCACTATACAGTTAATTCACTGTGATTCATTATGAAGATGAAGGGCTTCTCCTGACCAAATATGGGAAAGACTTTGAGTTTGAGTTGTGAGACATTGTCTGTACTAAGCTAAGGACTGGACTTCAGCATGGCTGAGTATAAGGAGTGCTGACACAGTGCTGACTGCCAACAGAAGACACTTCATCAGACTCTTTTAGTGGTGTTGTCTCATCTAGGTAATGAATGACTCCAGTGTACCTACTGCCCAGCCAAACCACTGTTCTATGAATTGCATCCAATTACCAAAATGTAAATGGGGAAACAGGTACAGAGAGGTTCAGAGAAGCTACCACACTCAACAGGTTCAAGGTAAAAGCAACTTCCAAAGCAGATGTTCTGTGCCCATAGATTGACCAATATATGCTATTTGCTCTCTTAAAGTTCATAGAAGTGACAGGGGTAGCTTGGCCAAGTGGTCTAAAGTTCATGGAGGTCAAATAAGGAGGTGAATGCCTGTAATCCTGAGGCAAACATTAAAGGCCCAACCTTAACCAAGAGCAAAATTCACAGAGATGTCTAGCCTGGAGATTATATGAAATGGGACAATACAATTTTAATCCCAATTCAAAATCAAGATCACAAAGTATGCAACTGCCTAAATTCTAGAAGCTAAAAGTGAAGATGTGGACAGGGCTCTGCATTGGGTTTTGATGTTTTTCCATTGTGTTTCAAACTCTTCATGCCCCCAACTTGATCTTAAATATCATTTTGTGATAAATGTAGCCTATAGGAGACTCCCTGCAGTCAATATTTGTAGCCAATCTTAAGTAGAGAATGGAGAACTGAGAAGATGAGAACAGAATAAAGAAATGGAGGAGAAAAAGACAGGCAGGAGCAAGGGAAGATGCTTCATTATACAATACTTTCTTTTCTCCTCCATGCTATTTCCAAAGCTATTTTCTGTCATTCTAAATAAATTCAAACACAATTAAAAGTAAGAACTACTGAAAAATTCCACAAGCTATTTCAGGTGAGGCTGATATGGCAATGTTATCATTTTTTAATATAAAGTAAGAAAATATCGAATGGAAAACAAGAGCTGAAAAGCATAATAAGTAAATTCATATGTATAAAACAAGGAGATACAATTGCATCCAATTATTTCAGCCAATCACCTCGAAGGGAAGATCCTCTAAAGAAAATTGCATTGCTTTCCCAACTCCTTGGAGAGCCAGTTTAGTTAACAGCCTACCTACACTTCAGAGATGACCACGCAGCTTACATGTCAAACTCATTTTCAAATGTCAATCATGTCCTTTTCAATCTAATTAGTTTGGAAAGTAGTGTCACTGACCTGGAACTATGCAGACCATTTATTATCATATCATTTGATCAACCTAACACTTTGCCTCAGTTGAGTTTAGGACACCTGTAGCCAAAATGTAATATCCTTTCTCCAACTCATTACTAGTAACTCTCAATACAATTCCCTATTTATAGCTCAATTTATCACTGTGAGGACACGTGGCTAACTTCATAGTAACATTCCACAGAATCTTCTTTAAGATTTCATGGCAAGGAAAATAGAAAGGAAGAGAAAATATACACAGATAGTGACTATATATGTATATACACATATATGTGTATGCATACATACATATTTTTATTAGTACCAAGCATACAGCAGACTAAGGATTTTAGATAAATCATTGCAGATGGGGAAAGGCACAAGAAGAGAAGGCCATGCACAGGCTGGGCGTAGTTTACAACCTTAACTACACAGATTGGGTTTTTGTTTCCCTTAATATGACACAATGAACCATATAGAGAGAGACTCTGCAGGTTGCCACCATAGTGGGTCGGCTTTATAATCAAGAAAACCTGTCCTGGGTTCATAGTATTTAACCTGACTTTAAGTCGGCTAGGGGCAGATGAGGTAGCACTGAAAAAGAAATCATTACTAGCCACCCAGAGGTCAGAGAGCATCGGCAAGTGTGTAAGAGAAGAGCAAAAGTGCTGGGTGGGGCTAGAGTGGGTGTGTGCTACGTGCTGGCAGCAAAGGAGCTGGAAGATGGCTCACAGAGTAGACCCTCGTCTGGTACATTCTCCAGCAAGACCAGGGAAATAACTTGATCTTTTTCTTATTTCAGCTTTGTACATTAAGAATGAATTTGCAAGACAATATTGAAAGCAGGTAATCTTATCTCGACTGCACAGCATAAGCACCAAGGAGGGAAAGAATACAGGCACTGATATGCCCCCAAAATGGTATATTCACATTTTTAACTGTGGCATTTATTTACGTGCACCTGTTATATTTAACGTAATGACTAGTCACTCTAGGATGGTAATCTAAAAGCAGAGCGCTGGCTGCCAGATCTACCTTTTTATATCCTGGACTTTTATTGGAGGAAGTTAAGTGGATTTTGCCCAAATTTATGTTTGTGTGATAGAAAGGCAAGAATGTGACTCATGTTTTCCAGATCAATTTACTACTACTGAATAATTTTCCATGAGGTAAAGAAGAAAAGATACACATCTATCTAACACTTACCTTCTGGTGAGGAAACAGACTTTTGGGAAAAGACAGCGTTTACTTTACTCTTCTTATTGATATCATTGTTTACGGACAAGCTGGACTGAATTTTTCTGTGCATTTTCTGAGAACCAGATGCTGAAGTTCTGTGATTATCTGTGGGTGCGTGTTTGGCTCCGTGATGAATCCCATTCCCATTGCTCAGACACGTGTGCTCTCCATTCTTTATTTTGCCTGTTTCCTCCTTGATGGGCTCCTGTGTTGTTGTCTGCAGCTGAGGCAGGCGCTGAGGTTGGGCTGAGTTTAAAAAAAAAAAAGTTCATCTAGCTAAGCAAGAGAAGGTATTATATTTACAATAGTGAAAAAAATAGATTCAAAAATACAAATTCAAAAATAGAGATTGCAGATCTAACCGACACTAATAAGACTGAAGAGACCTGGGCAGGGGGAGACAGTATAGAGGAGAGGAAGAAGGAAAAGGTGGAAAGGGAAGAAGAATGTTCTAGAAGGAAAGAAGGAAGGTCTAGAAAGTAAAATAAAAGTAAGTTCAACAAAAATCACTATACAAAGACATAAAATTTGAGGATGTTTTGTTAATTTAAAACAATACTTAAATTAAAATCTGTCTTTTTAAGAAAGAAAGGCAGTTCAACACTGCTTCCCTGAAGGCTGCTCTTGTTTGATGGTTTCCTAAGTGCTGCACATACAACAGTGTGATCTCAATATGAAACTCACCAATTACATTTTAAAAGGAAAGGAGCAATGAATTCAGACGTTCGACGTTGGACAACATAGCTTTCTTCCAAGCAATTCTAAAACTAGATAAAAATATTTTATGAATTTATTCCTTTAACTTTATTTTAAAGGAAAAACTAGTTCAATCTGATCCCATGCAGCCACCAAAAGCAAATGTAAGCACTTCAGAAGAACTTATATTTGTGTGTGGACCAAGTGGAGGAACCCACCCTCATTCCTCTTATTCAACCCTATACTAGAAGTCCCAACAAAAGAAATGAGTGAGTGAAAGAGCATCTGAGTCCTAGAAAGAAGAACACAAACTTGTGGAGTTGTGCACTCAGGAATGAATGAATAATCTAAGTTCCAAAAAGTTAAGAATTATGAAAGATGTATTTAGGATAAACTGTACAAAATAGTATTCCAGTATGCAACCCCAATGCTAACCACTTAAGAAGTGAGCAAGAAAAGAATTCGCTTTTCATCATATAGAGAAAAACAAAATCCTAAACCCATCCCTAAAACCACTAATATTGCCATAGCTTAAGCAACAAGAATGGGTAGACAGTTACAAGGATCAACAGAATGACAAAATATTATTGAAAAGCATGGAGGTGCCCAAATAGTGGGCACAAGTATATTCATTCTATTAGTTTGGTAATTCTTTCTTACTTTTTAGTAAGTGTAGTTCCCACTAACTTTTCTTTTGCCCCACCCCCCCTTTTTAAATGGTGCATAAGAAGCTGATCTCAAATTAAGGAAGAGGAATAAATACTACCAAAGAAATTTTAGGGAAGAAAAGTGAAACTTTAATTAGATATGAAATTGCACTATTAAATTCCAGTAGCTGTAGCACTGTAGCATTCAGCCACAAAACAACAACAACAACAAAACAATGGAACAGCAGACTCCCAGATATGTAGATGCATGCACACACATATACACATATCTATGACATACAAACAAATTCCAGACCACCCCCATGTCTATGCATAATAAGAAACTCTTTTTAGTTTAAAGTGGGCAGAGAGACTACCTTACTAGCATGATACTGAGAAGGGTAATGAATTTAATTCTTTAAACACTGCATCATTGAACAATTGGTTGACTACTGACAATGTGTGTTGGCCAGCATTACTGTACAGCTAGCTCCTTGTGACCTCAGGGCCAGTACCTACAATGCAGCATCTTAAACAGGATATGCATTTCTTAGAAACATGTGATCATTTGATTTAGAGAATCATATGTTCCTGTTTCTTGGAACAATCAGAATGACTGCCATTGAAACCAGTTAGGCATACGCACTTTGAAAATTGCCAAAGAAAACCTAATTTAGTGTTCTTCACAAGGCACTTTCTAGCAATCTCTCCAAATAAATGGAATGTTTGAGCTACTTCTTTCCTAAAACTACTAATGGAAGCAATCTGAGAGTTTGGTTAAGTTGAAGTCCATTGACCAATGGTGGGTAACTCCTCATCAGTCAGTCAAAATTCTCTTCTCATACTGCAGTCCAAGATAACCTGAGAATCACTATGTAATAATTAAACAGACTCATTAAATAAAAAATGCAAGTGGTAAAAGACGAGTATGTCCTGCCTCCAAATTCTAAACAATAATAGATTTGACCTTTATTTTTTCTTTCTACTAACAGAACTGACTCTGCAAATTATGGGTTGCAGCTGGAGCGTTAGTTTAATGCATCCTTAATGATTTATCTGTGTTTCCCTCTTCAAATCATATCTATTTTTAGGGGCAGTTAAATGATAGCACTTTTAATTTTTGTTCCACTGTCTCCTAATTATTTTTCTGTGGTTTTTGAATTACAGTAAAGTAACCAAATATTATCTCTTCACTTCAGTTTTTTTAAACATTAAAACATTTTTTTTTTTTAGTTGAATGATTTTGGCCTATGTGTGCAGTACATTAAATCAAAGCTGGATAAGCTTTATCTTAGTCATCTCAATAGATGGGAAATGTAGCTTGATTGATCATTTTTCAAGGGTATGATTTTCATTTTATAGCCAAGTTGCAATTAAAACTAAACAGGAAACATGATTTTATTTTCAATTGAAGAAGGAAACCGCCTGCCTGATTAAACCACAACTATTTGGTTTAAAATAGATTTCTTCTTATTGTGTACAAATCATGGCTAGCTCTAAAAAAGCATGCTAATACGGGGGTGACACAATGCTTCTTAAAACACAGGCAATGCCTGGGGACCCTCGCTCCCTCTTTAATGATGCACTGTTCTCATTCAGCTGTCTTTCTTATTTCAAATCTTTACATATGTGACAGCTCTCAAAAGTAGACCATAGACCATCTGGCATTTTCCGAGGTGTAACTTGTGCAAGTTCAGCTCTATTGGGAGTGCAGCACTATCTTCTGCCTGTGTTATAAAGGGACAATAGAATGTAGAACTTAGGGGTTGTTTTGAATTATTCATTTTTTTTTGCCTGTATATTCAAGAAATTTTTACAAACTCTGCATTTTGTACTACATAATCGCATGCGTTAAAGGTACAAAGAAACTTTTTGACACCTCTTTTCCACAGAAGGCTGGCATTTTGTTTGATATATGAACATTCGGCATCTGTTATATCACTCCAAACAGGACGGGTGCTCCTACAAAGGACTCCATTTTAAATTTACTCTCTATGAGCAAAAAATGTATTCTCAATATTCAGGAATGAATGCAATACTTGTCAAAATTTCAAATACCAGGTATTAGAGCATTCAGCATCTTCAAACCTGGATAGGGTTGGTCACCTGATCACCATATGTGTAGAGATTTTTTTTTTCAACCACAGCTCACACAATGCAGCATGATTGTAATTTTAATATCCATGATGAATAGTTACAAATGTCTTAAGAAATGCTGCTCTTTCTAGGTTCAAATGTTTTCAATCAGGGAGGATTAGGTCTAACAGTTTTCAGTGGGAATAATAAACATGAGAAGAAATGAGTCTATAGCATGAACTCCTTTTGATAATTAAAAAATTGTAACCAGTAATAAGTATACATGAAACTGCAGCTGCTGGCCCTGGAAACGAAAGCCACGTTTTACTCCAGCATATAATCTGTTAGTGGTAGCAGATCATCTTCATTGCTGGTGTCCACATAAGTCATATTCAATAAAGTTCTCATGCACTTAATTAATTTAAATGGTTAATGTACACATAAAAATTACACAAAATCCTGTTCCTTTTCTGAGGGACAAGTATAAGGTTCTTACAAAGTACGCAGTGACCACCTGGTCACTATAGGACACACACATGCACATACACAATAATGGTAGAAGTTTTATATATGCAATACTGTGTATAAATATATGAATAATTTGTCATATTAAATGCTATTAAAAGATATCACTAATCCTAACATTTTATATGCAATTATGTCCTTAAATGGGAGATGAGATTTTTTTCAATATGACTAATTTTACTGCTACTTAATATGAATTTAAGTAAAATCAATTGTAGTCAAGGTTAAAAAAAACTCTCTTTTTAGCCAGTGCCAAAACTTTATCCATGTACAAAATCTGGGTGTACATCCCATAAATCCCGACTAGTTGGAGACTCCTGGTATACTCTACACATCTTTATTCTCCTCCAAGGGATTTTGGAAATTCTTTCTTTACTTCTTGAGTTTCTGGACTCTTCTGGTTACATACCTTATTTTCTATCTTTGCTGCATCTACTGTATATCTACTGTATACATTTAACATATTAAATTACATTTTGGAATTCCTATGTTGTTTTGGAACGCTCATGAATTTGCGATGCCAGTAAGGCAGTGTGGCTCCCTGGATGTGAGTTCACGTTCTGACACATTCTACTTTATTTTTAAAAATTAACTCAATTGTAATTATTGTGTAATAAACCATGAGATGACAATGGGAAACAGTGCCATTCAATTAAAAAAAAAAGACAAAATGTTAAAAGTTGTTTAAAAAGGCAATTGCTTTATAGTTACTGCAATTCACAAAGGGCATTTAGAATATAACTAAACATACTTAGGAGGAGGAGACTGATAGCTTCCTGCAAATCCATTTCTGTGTTTTCCAAAGACATATTTACTCCCGTGTTCCAACTCACCCTTGCAGGTAGAGTCAGCCATTCATGTACATTCTCAGAGACAGACTTGTTTCTATATGTTCCTTCCAGACCTGGGCCTGACAGCTTGGGTGTCTCTGGTTGAGGAGCATACTTCAGGGATTCTGAAGGAACCAAACACTAGGAATCTTCATGGAAGCAGTGGGAAGACAGACTTCCCAGGCTCTTGCCTGTGTTTGTTCCTTTCCTTAACTTCGCGTTCTAAAACTTTTCTGTTTGCCCTCATCTTTAAATTCCGCGATAGTGCTAATAATTCCTTTCATAATGACCACTGAAAAACATGTATCAAATAAATATGCAAACATGATCTTGTATTTTCTAGAAAAAAATGCAGTAGAAATAAATTCAAAATAAGAATTTTAAGGAACATAAAGTACATTTTCACTTAAGATTGTGTGTGTGTGTGTGTGTGTGTGTGTGTGTGTGTGTGTGTTACTGTGTTATGGTCCTC